ATTCAAACATAATGAGATGGTATACGCTCAAGCATTTCTAGATGATACTACGTAGAAAGACTACTGCTCCAAGATCCCAAATTATCCAAGACAAAAAGAGGACCGAAAAGATGTGCAACAGAATGCTTTAATAGCCGGTAAAATGACTTTTACTTATACTTAAATATCACCAAGCCATTTGAAGAAATAATCTTCCTTCATTATTAATTTTAATTAATACTTTACATTCACGTAAAAACATAGCATGTTTGTGTAACATAGTAAGCACTGAAGCATTGTATAATTTTACAATCCTCCAGCTTAAAATCAACCCATGATAAAGAAAATGTGAATTCTTCTTAAAAGGACTATTTTAGTATATGGGATAGACACTGAGGATTAACAAGCAATGTGAAAATTAGTAATCACAAAAAGTAGATTAAAACTAACCCATGACGATATCCTGAGCTGACAATTCTGCACGCACGTCAATAAGTTCAGAATTACTGTGCTGCTGGCGCTGCAGCAGAACATACACTTTATTGCTTGTAACGCTTGAACGCTGCAATATAGCAATCAACTTTATTTCCTTTATAATGTCAGAACATTCAGTTTTAATTTAGTTAATTTTGCTACTAACATTTTATATGGACTGAGTTCTTCGAAATCTTTCATTTCATGCTCCATTAATACCGCATGCGATCTTAAGTTTTAACGCAAATTTCTTCTACTTATTGCATGTAACGATGTTTTGAACAAAGTTTCCGGAACTAAGTTTGCCCCATTTCTTACCTTGAACAGTGGGATATAATACACCGTACCTAATAAATGTCGAGTTGTACTATATTCTGAATAGAATTTCATAACATAGAAAAGTCTCTTCCGTTTCATACCCCTAATGATAGATAGAGCAACTAATAGATGAAACAGAAAGAGAAATTCGTCATACAAATGATTATATTAATATCATTTCTTCCAGTAATGATACCCTAAATAGCTATCCGGTATACTCCTAAAAGCTTCGTTCAACCGGATCCAGTTAGCACAATATAAATCCCAAACAGCTATTTTATTCAACCGATCGAAGAGACCTTACAAGTCAATCGAAGACCCCTCACGACCAAATGCGCATCGTACCGCTATGTAATGGTTTTGCAGCCCATGAATGGTACCCACTGTGAAACATTTCCAAGCTGATTTATTGTTTTGGATGACATCGTAGTGGCATCCGATTTTGATGACATGCATCGGAACTTCGGTCAGAGTTCATGTTTCGATTGGCGTACGTGTTTGCGTGAATTTATGACGTACGTGGGCTGCTGACATTTGTTTGTTCTACGTGCGAATGTGTTGATCGGTATACTAGTACGGTAACCTGTGTGAATCACTGATGAATATGAAATGATGCAAAGATTACAGAATTATTACCATGCAAAGATTTACCTGTTGATTGCTGATATGCACCGGTTGCATGTTTTCGGAAGAGTCACAAATTAGATTGTCCTATGTAAAGATAGATGTAATGGATAATTTGATATATATTTGCGTGTAAATGACAGACGTATAACTGTTACGTATGCTTTCAGTGAGCAAGTATTGCAACTTCAATGCATGTTGTTTGCTTAAAATCTCTTTGCTTGCTATCTCGTTATCACTGATTTTTATCAAAAGCCAATCCTGCTGATTATTTAGTTATTTAACGAAATACTTTTATCACTCTTCAAGAAGTTTAAATGATTCAAAAAAGAACTAACTTCAAATGACTTTAAACTGTCAGAATAAGGAAGTATATTTGAAAACTGTTTAGTGATAATGCAAAGGAAGGAAAGGATTTTATTCAGCAAATTATTTTTGACTGTGCACGAAACCGAGTGGTTAGATCGACTAATTTAACACGTATCTTAAATTATTTCAGTTGATAGATTGGCATTAGTTGTCAAGACATATCATAGTGGTGTGACATAATGGTTCAGGAAAGTACGATGATTTGGTAGGTTAAATACTTTTTCTTTGTGTGATTAATTTTCTTGGCCTTTATGATGCTTTCATATCCTGTATAACTAGATAAAGAAGATAATTTCTTGTTTGATTAGTTTTTTTTTTTTCTGCTTTGGTTTGCGTTGAATCAGATTGAAATACTCTCCGGAATATATGTCATAGCATATTTGAATGTTGGAGGAGGTTGACATCATATATGGACGCATATATGCATACATATGTCTACTTTTTAATGTCTGCCTTTTAAATTATGTTGGGCATTACACACTGATGCTACAAAGCATTTTTTTTTAATACGAAAGAGATAATTCCCGCATGTTGCTGTAGTTGTAACTCTTGTCTTACATAGTAGGAAGCAAATACTGATATTTGCCAATACTGATAGCAAATACTGATATCTGTACGTATAAGATATATTAAGCGCTTTACTGAAGTGTGTAGTATATCGTATTTTCAGTGTTGATAATTCGGAGTGGATGCGAAACGGTGATTTTGCACCAACCCGTTTGCAGTGTCAACAAGATGCTGTAAATTTAGTGTTGCAATGTAAGCTTCGTGCAAATCCAGAAAACGCTGTTGGATTGATTGCTATGGCTGAGTATGTTTTTAGTGCGTGCAAGGTTCAAAAGTTTTAAAAGGGTATTAGTAAGAAATAAGGTCTCTGACAGTTGATTTCAGTTGAGAAGTAAACCTTCATTATCAGAAGTACTATCGGTAGGAAAATAAGGTATTTTCTAAGGTGTCACTAGTTAATAAGTAACATCTTGCTTTCTATAATATTATAGGCTATAGTAACAGTTCTACAAAGGTGTACAAGTTACCTTAAGCTCCACCGTTCTTTTTAGTATAAAACTTTAGTATAAAGTTTTTAGTATAAAGCTCACTCTGCGGAATGTTGTCCTCATATTCACTGAAATCTTAAATAAGATTAGACGATTTAAACCCTCCGGATTTCCAGTACTATATCTCCAGCATTACGCATAGATATTAGCATTTTTTGGATGGCATCATCATCAGCCTTCCGAAAAAAGAAAAAAATCAGCCGTTTCAGTCTTCACTTTAATCCATCTGTAAGTTAGTTAATGAAGAAATATACAATTGCAGTACCGTGGAAGTGCTGACAACATTGACGCAAGAAAACGGAAAACTGTTTATGAAACTTCATCAAGTGGAACCAAAAGTAAGTGGTCACATCGTTCGATTCTGTGTGGTGCTAGTAATATAGGTATCGCACAGTTGCAGCATGTTTCTCTACCTTGCCATCGGTTTCTTGAAAACTTTCCATGAAAATATTCATCAAACCGTTTCGGTGTTGGATACAGTCATTTTCTGAAGGTTTTCCCTAAATCGATTATGTGAGGTGTAAAATGTTTGAAGAAAGTGCTTATAATTAATGGAGGGAAACTGACATGTACTACGTCTTTACGGACTAGTTTTGTTGATTGTTATATGCATATTTAATGCATATCGCCCGCACAAAAATAAAAAAAATTATCAATTAGTATACATCCTTCTATTAATGTGTATATTAATGAACTTTACTTTTGGAAAACCGTAAAAACAAATGCTATAGCAAAATTCTTTTTTATTTTACAGGGTGCTTCAAATTTTATCAATGCAATTAAAGTGGCACACTTGGCGTTAAAGCATCGTCAAAATAGAAACCACAAAATGCGAATTGTCGTCTTTATTGGTAGCCCAATTGATCATTTGAATTCTGCTGAGGTTTGCTTATTACTTTTTTTCTTAATGTAATATCATTCTCAGTTCATTTTTTTTTAAAAAAATAGTCATTAGGAAAAAATTTTCACGTAAAATCCTGTTTCTGTGTAAAATCTCCATAGTATCTGTGACTCACCCTATTTATCACCTAGTTTACGCATAGCGAGAACATAGATTCACAATGAGGTAAAATTTACAATAATTTTGGCTTAAAGAAAATTATATAATTCAGCTTACAAAGCTTGCGAAAAAGTTGAAGAAAGAGAAAGTCCAAGTAGATGTTATATGCTTTGGTGAAGCAGATTCAACTGATAGTGAAATTATGGGGCAGTTTATCGAAACGCTGAATGGAAAGTAAGTCGTAACACGAGATCTACTTCACTAATGACTAAAATTTAAATAGTTACAACGTATTTTAAAGGATATTTCCATAGAAGTAAGCTGACAAACATTGTTTAGTATATTGGGTGGTTGAGTTTTGGTAGAGCAAACCGCTAACTTACATAATGTTAAATGAATGTAGAACTACTGCTTCTCAATCGTTGAATTAAGAATTATAACCTTTATAACTATAAAATGTAATAGTACTTTTTTCTATAAATATGTAGTAGTACTTCTTTTAGTATTCTTTATTGTATTTACTTTCAATCTTCCTGTTTAGAGAAGGAAGTGGTTCGAATTTGGTAGTTGTGCCGGCAAGTTCATCACTTGCGGAAGCACTGGTATCTTCACCAATATGCCGTGGTGAAGATGGTACTGCTGCGCCAGTAGTAGCTGCAGGCGGAGGCGGATTCGAATTTGGAATTGATCCTGAAGATGATCCGGATTTAGCACTGGTTATAAATTGCATCGTTTCTAAATAAATGTATAAAAGTTGGACTGTCAAATTAGTTTTGATGGTATACTTTGCTGTCAAAACCTGTGCTGAGAGCACTTAAAAGAAGCGGAGAAAACGTTCGAATGCTTTTTCGTTTAATTCTTTTTATTTTTCATTTGGCAAAGTATCATAATTTAAGGCACTTCGCGTTTCATTGGAAGAACAACGTCAACGACAAAGAGGTGGTGGGACAGATGATACTGAATCGCAGCCAGCAAATACTACTGGAAGTAAGTAATTCTAGCTTTGACAGTATGTATGTTGGGAAGAAATTATAACTATCATCTGTTTTAATTCCAATAAATAAAAGACGCTTTTTGCAAATTTTTGATACAGATTTGAAATATCCTTTTTTTTTTTGCACATTTCGTTTTTTATATTAAGATGATATTATGACGATGGATCCTGGAGCAATGACAGAAGAACAGCAATTGGAATGGGCGTTACGTATGTCGATGCAGGAAGGTACGGGTATTGCTAGTTCCGCTACATTACAAACGCCTTCGCCAAATGCGGCCACATCTGGTCAGTTAGCAACAACTGAAATGTCTGCCATGGAAACTGCTACTACTCCGAAAGTCGACCAGAGCGGTACTACTGAAGAGATGGAGGTTGACGATTCAGCTACTACACGGGACGCTACGATGGTAGCTTTCTTTTTTTTCAGATTTTTTATATCTGAAGCATCATACCATGCATACAGCTCTCTATGTTACACTAAATCCTTAAAAGTAAACTATGGGAGAAAAGGTAGAGAATTTCAAGATTCCATCTTTACCCAATTTCACGCCATAATTCCACATGAGTTGGGGCCTACAGCAAAGTCACCAGGGTAATCGAACGAATTGTAATAAGCTCTATAAAGCCAGTCTATGAATGATGTTGTTTGGGTTTCTATAGATAAAATCACAATGCTTTGATATTGCTTTGATATTGATATTATTTGGCATATTACATTTCTCCATTCCGTACCAGCTATCGAAGCACGATCTTCTTAGGGCTAACATTGTCTGTTAATTCCTTAGAGGATTGCCTTATGTAGATTAAGTCAAAAAGCTAATCATTTTTCGTAGACCGAGGATGATCAACTTGGTCAACTGATGAGTGATCCTGAATTACTTCGTCAACTTCTGGCGGACCTACCTGGCGTAGACCCAAATTCGCAGGAAGTTCGTGATGCGGTCAATAGTGCTGCTGCGGCCAGAGAAAAGGTAAATTCTTTCTGACACTTCTATACAACCTTCCGAATAAAAAAAAAGAATTTAGAGTTGTATTTGAATATTTTCAGAAAGAAGATAAAAATGATGATAAGACGACAAAATAAACGAATGGTGTGTTAGGAAGTGAAAACAACTGAATTGTAGTATCACCATGCATTGGGAATGAATTTTTTAAAATTTTCTATGTTTTGTAATGATTTTTACGTCCGCATATTTAAAGTAACTGGTTATTTGTCTTTTGACACGCTCAAACACAACGCTTTGGAATATTAATCGTCCTCTATCCTTTGGAATAGATAGGTTCTATTGAGCCAGGCATGGATTAAAATCTCATTTTTGGATTCACCAACGATAACCATACGCCCTGTACTCTAGTATATTGTCATAGATAAGGGAACGGTATTTCCCAATGAGAACTTGCCAAATTCCTTGTGTTCACATACTGTGACATGTGACAGAGTAATCTTACGTCCATACATTGCTCGTCATGAAAATAAGGTAATGCTACGTCATTGTCGTAACCTCAGCAATATTTTATTTTGAAATAACAATAGATCCTACGCGCACAAATACTTCTTATGCAAGCTGCTAAAAAATGTAAATGTCTTATTGACATCCCGATACAAGTCTTAGTAGAAGTTGAAACGTCATAAAACACGGATGGTATCCCATGCCTTTCATATCATGATTCCGAATAAACATGAGAAAATGAAATTCTTATTTGTTCTTTTTATTTGGAAAAAAGATCTAACAAAGGCTTATTCTCCTATGGCAGAGTCTAATGGAGGCTTCCTACGTAATCCAGTTTTTTTACGAATAGCCGAACTGCTGATGAAGCACGAATATTGAGCAAAAAAAGTTTAAAATGGATATTTGGGAAATATTAGGATTTGGCATTTAAGTGTCCTAAATATTGAGACTGCAACATCATATGTAGTTTTAATTAGGAAGAATATGCAGCTGTATGATTTCTCCAACATTAATTTTTAACAGCGATCAAAATCAATAGAATTGAAGCGAAAGAACAGTTCTGATCCCATTTTGAAGCTGTTTTGACATAGAAAGTGCAAGGCAGAGTATCCAAAGTGGTTTGAAAATCTACACGACCACTTGCGTAAATAATTGTCATAAATGCCATATTAATTAGAACCCAGAGTTATGTGAAGGAAATGGTCTCAGACATCTAGCAATAACTCCAGGTTAAGGCTTTTTTGTAATAGACTTCGATACTTTATTTAATTAATTGTTCCAGCACAAATTAACAACATATTATGGAACACCATCAAACGTTACAGGAATATACTTTGACACCACCGAATTATCTATCATCTCTCTCCTTGCAGGCAAATCTCTCACAAGCATTTGCATCAATCGACCGAGCACGTGTGGATTAAAATTGTTTACTTTCGTATCCGTTTCACCAAATTCAAATGTACCTTTATCGTGATCATATCGGTTATATAGATTTAATGGTCCTTCCACGTAGCACAAATTCGAACGTTTATTTATAATTCCCTACAAAGAAGAAAGAAGAAAAGCATGCTGAAAGTTTTCCGTACCTATAAATTTGAGGAAAAGGTTGAAACAAATCAAAGATAAGGAACTTTAACTTAGATAAAATTAAGCCTAAGTGATAAGCATGACTTACGTAAATAAATATATTTAAAAAAACGCACCTCAATGTCCACGTTAATAAGTAAAGTGTTCAGTTGAGCTATGGCAAAGAAAAACTGCTTTCCATCCGACATTACTAACTGTGATACAAGCGGATATTCGATATCGTTGTATTGTGTGAAACCTGAAAAAGAGATCGTAACCCGAAATTATTGTTTTTCAATTTTCCAATTTAAGTTCTGATAGATATCCTTTTTTCATTTGCCTTTCAATGAGAATTTTCTGCAGAACTTACATCGCAGTTTATAGCAATATCTTATAAAGAATAGTTAATATCGTCAATTGGATAATCATTTAATTGAAAAACAAACAATTTCCAAAATTTAATAGAAACTAAACACATACCCAACGTATGAGCCTGAGCATTTAACCAAGAAAAGAGCGACACAACAGCGGAAGCTCGAAGGCATTCATTGCGAACTATTTTCTCTTCCTCACCCTTCACTTTCCACTTTTTACAATGCATATCCAAATCATTAAATTGTTTAAATCCTATTTGACCATATTTATATTCTTCACCTGAAGAATCTATCTGAATGCTGAGATTTTCGGGAATTCAAAGTTAAATCTTAAATGCTTCAGTCTATTTTTCAAAAAAATTTTCTGGTTTTCGGTTGAAATGAGCAACAGGAGTTCAAAGT